AGTATTAAAAAGAGAGGTCAATGAAGATATTTTATAATTTTATCGACTAATTGATTTGACTTATCGGCGCTAATGTACAAAGCACTATTGTCAAAGCTTTGTTAGTCTAAAAGTAAACAGTATTTCACGTACATATGTGGGGAACAAAAATTAGGTTTTCAAATTTCAACTAATTAATAATTTTTGTTAATTTTATATTAATCTGCAGCCAGACGAAATGCAAAAGGCTAATAAGGCCGACATGGCTATTGGTCTTAGGTTAGGAAGATGGTTTGGTTTGTCGATTATTGGAAGCCTTTGTCTTCTTTCGCTGTTTTAATTTGCCTAAATTATAAAGATACAAAATTCCTAATCAAAATAGAAATGATAAATGATAATATTCATAAGAAGAGTGAGAATGAATTTTAGCGTGTAAAAAATAAAATGTTCTAATACAAATAATTTAATAATAGTAATTAGGTGCGGGAATTTGCAGATTTAACAAGTTATGAAACAATCGAGTGTATATTTAGTAATGACACTAAAAAGCTAATATGTATATTAAATGTTTATAAATTTTGATAAAGGTTTACTAATGTCGACATAGATTGCATAAGAAGATGCAGAGAGTATTATGTACTATAGCTCTGGGTAGTGGATGGAGGCCAAAGGTTTAGTATAGCAAATATTTTTTCTTGTCTCCATAAAGCTAAATTTTATTGTTCAAAAGTCGTCACACCTTAACTCGACAAAATGATGAATGAGTAAATTGTCTTGAATCAATGGCTTTTTATGTGCCATCACATTGAGTGTAACTCTCACATTATGACTTGTGACTTGTGACTGTCAAATCTCGATCCTATGTCCAATCTTGAAAAAATCTCTAAGTGCCTGTGGACTACCTAGGAGGCCGACTGCCTAATGTTTATGCGCGATTGTTTTTTAAACACTGCCTATGTCATTGCCTACAATCTACTATTTGAGTTGACCCTACAGCCATTATATATGATGTGATACTCAACAAATTTTAACCTCAATTTAACCAATTTGAGATACTCAAAACAAATTTGAGTAATAAGAAATAAACAATGAAATCGCAAAGTGTGAAAGTAAGTCACGGATTCACAGTAGAGCACATTGGTGGAGATGCAAGCCAATGATGATGGAAGAAGGTAAAAAGAAGATCCCATTTTTACTGTTATTTGATTTGGCGGTTATCATCCCCTTGGGCCGCATGCATTTCTGCACGCTTTTGCCCTTTTACCCCAATTGAAATACTGTTACATTTTGAGTGAAATATTTTAATTTTTCTCATAAAGATAATTAAATAAAATGCCAAAAAACAGTATTATTGCCTTGAGGAGTTGAGGATAACCGCGTGGGTACTATTATGATTTTTATAGAGTTAATACCATTTGAGGTCCTTCGAGTATAGTGGTTTTGCCACGTTTAGTCCTAAATTTTCAAATTGACCATCTGTAGTCTTTCGACTTTTAAATTTAACCATTCGTGGTCCAAGTTAACCATTCATGGTCCTTTAACTATTAAATTTTAACCAATCATGGTCCTTTCAAGAGGACCACGACTGGTTAAATTTTGAAACTTGAAGGACCATGGGTGGTTAACTTTGACCACGAATGGTTAAATTTGAAAGTCAAAGGACTACATATGGTTAATTTGAAAGTTTAAGACTAAACCTGGCAAAACCACTATACTCGGAGGACCTCATATGGTATTAACTCATTTTTATATATAAAAGTTACGACTTTAATTTTGTTTGGTGGAGCCTATCATATAAGGTCTTTAGTACAGTTTACTTATGACATAATTAAAAATTATGAGTTTAATTTTTTAACTCCCTTTCAGTTGAGCTCATCACATAATATTTTTTTACTACAATTTACCTTTTATGTATAATTTGTGAGTTGAAATAAATGTCGTTGCAGGCTTGCAGGCATATGAGTTGAATATTAAGTTAAGGCTCTGAGAAGGTTAAGGGGTGAAATAGAAAAATTTGGAGTATGAAGGGGTTTGGTGAGCAAATAAGGGGAAAGATTTTGTAGTATTCCCATGCAAAATCACGCATGAGGGAGGGTCAACCATGCCTAGTTACTTGTAGCCCTGTGGAAGGGTGAGAGTAGAGCAAGAACTCAGTCTTTAATAGCAGCAAAGCATGAGCTTCCATTCCTGCCAACTACCTCACCTTTTCAGTGCCATTCACCACAATGTGATGAGTATATGGATTCAGATTTGCTCCGGACATACTTGTTCCCAACAGACTCTAAGCACTTCCCACGCTTTGACTTAATAGAACATCTGCGAGAATATAAATCATGATAATTTAGTTGAACACAGAGGTTACGTACAAAAAATTCTCTCACTTTGAGAGGTTGCTCTTATACTATTGGCTGGTGAGAGTGTGAGACTCAATCACAGATAATTATTCTCAAACTTTACCTATGAAACCAACTGGGCAACTGAGCTACCCATTACTCCGGACATACTTCACTGGTCGAGTGGTTGATAGTTTGAATGTGAATGTAGTGTCTATCAATTACTCATATTTGAATTCTTAATAAGGGAAGATCTTAACTTGGGGAACGAAGAAAAAAAAAGAAAGCATTCCGACTTGTGTCACTAAGACTGTAAGACATATCTTGTGATTTACCTCAGGTGACTAATATTCGCGTATTGTAAGATAAAATTAATATAAGTGAAATGTGATCCGGTCTTATTTAGTGTAATTTGTTAAAAATGTTAATGTATTATGTATATAAATATATATGAGTTTGAACTTTCGAACTCATGCTTAGAGGAATATTTTAATTTAGACAAAAGTTCGTAGAAGGTGTATTTTGGGTGAACCCGCAAAAGATTATAATGAAGTAAATTAGTCTATGTTGTATATAATTGACCAATTTAAGTTAAAAATGTCAAAAAATAATTCATGCAGAAATCTAATTTAAAACCTTATAGTTACCAATTCAACAAATTCAGAAGGGTGTTACCCTGATTAGAGCAGCATTTGATAAACAATGGAGCATCTTTATAGCTTTTATTTTAGTTCTAAATGTTGGGGCAATTGTACAATGTTGGTTTGGGCTAAAGCCCTGGTTGGACAGGCTTCACTCAAAGACAAGGGCTTTTGTCCTCTTTCCCTACATCTCCTGGAAATTAAGAACTTGGGCTTGATGTTTTGTCTTCTGATAGGGAAGTGAAACTAAGCCCAAATAAAACCTATTTCGCAGCTTCTAATACAATCGTTATGTTATGGACCCGTGTCCAGCATGCACGCTGGACACGGTAACGGTGCCGTTAGGCACCGTTCTCTTCCACTTTTTTTTTTTTAAATAAAAAAATAAAAAAATTCAGACCACTTTGTTATAGGAGTATATGTTCATAATTTTATCACTATATGTTCATAATTGTAAGTTCATAACGTCAGAGCTCTGTGTTCATAATTGCATAACTGTACATTAATAATTGCATAACTGTACATTCATAATTCAATAACTGTAAATTCATAATTTTTGAAACTCTATGTTCACAATTTTAGAGCTCTATGTTCATAATTTTATCACTATATGTTCATAATGTCATAGTTCTGTGTTCATAATTCCATAACTTACATTCATAATTCCATAACTGTACATTAATAATTCCATAACTGTACATTAATAATTGCATAACTATACATTCATAATTCTATAACTATACATTCATAATGCCACAAACGAATAACGCCGTTAACAGCGAGACAAAATCAATTTTTTTTTAACTGGAAGGCCGCGTTTTCCCTTAAAACGACGTCGTTTTGGACTCGTGTCCACAATGCATTGTGGACATTTTTCAAAAAAGTTTCTTGCTATTTTGCATCTCGAATTGTATTTCTGGAGTCCACAGCATAATTTGCCATGATAGGCACAGTGATTTTTTTTTAATTTTTTTTTTAGGTTCTGGGTAATTTCAAACTCTATTTTAGAAGAGATCTCCCAGCATATGTTAGGTAGGGTGTTTGTATCAACTTATCATTCTTATCTTTAGCCGGCTTGAAAACCTTAAGGGGGCGTTTGGTTCAGGTTATATAACATAACCAAGGGAATGTGACATTCCAAAGCTCACATTCCAGTGTTTGGTTCATATTATCTTAGGGAATCTAACATTCCCAAGGAATGTCGCATTCCCTCCACATAGGATTTTGAAGGGAATGTGATTCCCTTCAAAATCTTAGATAATGTAAGATAACCTTGGTCTTAAGAATATTATAGTGTGTATAAAAGATAACCCTAAACCAAACATAATTATATTACATACCCTAATTTTAACTAAACACAGAAATCTAACATTCCCAGTAATCTAATATTCCCAGCAATCTAACATTCCCTAAGGTAATCTGACATTCCGTGAACCAAACGACCCCTAAGTGGCAAACCGAACCTCAATCTAACATCATTTAGACCAACTCTTTCAAGGGCGTTGTTACATACATATATCGTGGCAAAATTATTTTTATATAATGAACCCTAATTGATCACAAGCAACCCACTTTTGTGGTTTTGCCCATATTAAGAAAACAGAAAAGATTAATGGTGATGCAGACTGACTGCTGCACCTGTTTTACAGATAACATAAAGAATCACTTAATGACTTAAACACACTAATATGGAGCAATGCATTTACAATATGAATCAGAGTATCCACTAACTTGTTTATTTGTGCAACAGATTAAAACACATTATGTTCAGATGACACCTCTGTGGCTCCCGTTGAAGGAAAGTCACAAGATCGAACCCCGATGGTGGGGTATTGACTCTTTGGGCTCCAGTGGTTCTGTCGGGGATTTCGACTATTGTGAGCAACAAAGGCTACTCTGTATATTAAAATGAATCATTATAGTACAAGGTTGATTTATGTTTATTAAATGAGATTCTTTTGATGCCTGCATCTTTGGCAGTTCCCTTTCTTTCATTAGAAAGTTGCAGGATTTCACTATAAGAAGAATTCACAGTTCAATGGCAGCATTTTCAGTAAACATCTTTTATTCTCAAACAATTTAACATCTTCCTTCTGTTTTTGGATTTATTTCTATTTTATTGGTTGTGATAGAAACCTTACAAGTAATACATACCTGAAATTTCAGAAACTCAGAAAAGAAAATTATATTATTCTCCTGCATTTTCTCCCATTTTCACTGGACCTTTTTGCCTTCAAAAGCTTCAAAGTTTATTGTATATCAGCTACTTCATGATAATTCTCTTCAATAATGCAACCACCAATGAACCAAGTACCAAAAACGCCTTCTTTACCGCCATATTCTCTTCATTGCCTTTTATCCTCTGTGAAGTTCTTCTGAGATTACACTTTAAAACCATGCCAAAGTTCAAATTCAACAAAAGAGGGTAGGTTTATATCGATGCAAAATCATGTGTTATATTTCACGGGGTCCATTTAGCTTCCTTCTCTTAACACCCGAATCATCAGTTTTATAACTCAAACACGCAGCATCAAGAACGCCAATTGGACTTTGAGGCACAAAAGGAATTGAAGTCCCCGGATAGTCGCCATAGCTACTTAGCAGAGGTAGTTCCATGATTTTCAAACAGTAGATCACTCTATCCTGCAAAGTACGATATAATGGTTAATGGGGATTGGGGAAGCGTTATTAATGTTGGATTTCTGCAGTTAATGAAAGTGAAAATGGAAAGTGGAGAAGTCCACTGCTTATAGCAATGAATGCAGCTTGGAGAATTGGACCACACTATTCACCTTTTGTACATAAGGAGTGAGAGCAGATAACACTTTCTCGATGTCTACTCCCTCGGTTTCCACCGCAACAGAGATCACCACTGCTGCTGCTATCTCAGATGGCCTGAACTCCAAGAAGTAAATTCCTGCATTAAATTTTCACCCACCGAAATGTTAGCCATCTTCTTCTTCTTTTTTTTAGTACTACTGAGTAGTGTTTCAAAAATCGGGCCTAGACGCCGATTAATCAGCGCCTAGGCGCTAGGCAATCGGCCACCTAGGCATCCTAGGCGCCTAGCGATTTTTTCAACCTTGCTACTGACTCTGTTACAATGCAGTATCTGTTCATAACTACTTTCTCAACCTACTAAAGCACAAAGAGCCAATACTGCCTCCAAGCCACTAGACCACAAGGTCTTGGCCTCCCTTGAGGTCTTAAAAGCAATATCTATAACATCAAAGCAAACTATGACAAGAATATAGCCATACCACGAACTTATATTCAACAAAAATATACCTTTAAGCATGCTTTGTACGAGTTGTAAAGATTTCCCGATTGAAAATCTTGAAGCATCCCGGTCGCCATTTATCTTCTTAAAGAAACAGTCTATGAACGAGAATGGAGTGACAGATCGCATTCTCCAATTCAGCGTGCTCAACACAAGAAGTTCCATTCTCTTGACGGCTTTAGCATCAAACACAAACTTATCATCCCCTACCTGTCATTCAAAAGGACCATCGCAAATTCGCAATAGACTTAGGACATATATTCATTCATTTTCTACTAACACTTCTAAAAACTTGGCACAATATTCACCTGCAGATCTAAACACGACGGGACTCCACCCTCATCCATTTTAGCCGCAAGAGACAGACAAGCTATGGCTAGCAACCGCATTGTCCACTCCTTGCCCTTCTATAGAACCAGGGATGCTATAAGCAGTGTGATCTAATGGAATTTATCGCACATATACAGATCTCAATTCAATAGTATGCAAACCATTACAAACTACAGTAAGAATACGAACGATGAACTTACAGGTAACTCGTAGGCCGAAAGAAACCGATCAAAGTAATTCACAGCCAAATATGCACACAGAGGTCCAAAATTGAAATGTGCATGAGCCTGTTGTGCCAAACCAGCATTACAATTAATCAATATCAAACTGCAGTATGAAATAAATGAAACACAGTAAAAGTTAAGATCTAAAAGGAATTGCATACAGTTCAAAATTGGGTAAAAAGGTTGTAACTTTTCATTTTCCACTATCAGATTTAGCATTCATCATTAACCAAATAATTGATAAAGACAATATCAATCATCATCATCAGTAACACACTTAATCAATATGATTTAAGCTAATAGATCAAAATCCATTACAGGGAAAAACACCAAGGTTCTATTTGATTGATTATATATGAATAAAAAATTGTGTTTATGAATCTAAAGAACAAACCTTAAAGATCCAATCAAGAGCCTGAACTCTAGCCTCAATAATCAAGTCCCCACTCCTTAATCTTGTCAAATAATCACGAGCAGGCAAGTGCTCACTCTCCCTGTGAATCATCGAAACCAAACACTCCTCACTATGTACAGGCAGACAAGTCAAACTCTCCCACAGATCGTTCCGATGATTCTTATGAATCCATTTATCCCAAAACCCATCCTCCAAGAACTCATTCCCCACGCCGTCAACTTCATCGCAGAATATGCTACCGCTATCCTCTGTACACAGAAGACTCAAGACAGCGCTGTGGGAACTCTGTGCCATTGGAATTGGAATACCTTAGAAATCCAATCTTTATGCTCCTCAACCCTCTTTCTCACCCACCCAGATACAAAATTGGCGCCAAATTTATCTATAGAAAGCGCGCTTATATGGTTTAATGGCGCGATTTAAACAGTGAATCCTATGGGAGTAAATATGAATATAGGGAAAACCCAAGAAGATGAAGCAGTTCTAGTTTCTTTTAGTCAACAATCGCTCTCGTGTGGGGAGAGAGGATCGATGAAAATCTGCAGAGACGAAGGGCCCGGAGAACAATGAAGGAGAGTTCTCCGTTTATAGCTCTTCATACGGAGCATGAGGCCTTCGTAGAGATTAAAATTTGCGTGGGCTATGGGCATTTATGTCATGCGCATCAATGAAAGGACGTAGACAGGGGGTTATGTGTTAATCTTTAGTGCATTCATTATTGACATCATTTATTATTATTATTGGAATTTTCTACATTGTTTGGCAAACTTTTTTGTTTTCTTTTGATAATCTAATCTAAATTTTTTCAATTCTGTTAGATTATATCATGAATCTCATAAATCTGTATTCGTGCGGTATAAAACAAATCTAAATCAATCTCATAAGAGTAAAGATATATAATATATTCTAAACAACCCATGTGATACATGATACAACCAAAACACGTAAATATGAGTGTATTATTACAATCTACGTAATATTCAGTAATAATTAGTCGACAACTCTAACATTTGTTGACTTACACTAAAAATAAACATGTATCGTGGGTTGATTTTGTAAGTCAAACCCTAAGAAGATACACAATACAACAAGATGTGTGAGTATGAATGTCTTATAACAATTTGTAATTTTTGTATAATATTCGGTAACTATGGGTTGTAGAGAGATACCTCATACCTTTGTTGACTTACATTAAATTATAACTTTATAAGTAGTATTCATATAGTTTATCTACATACTATCACCGCGATGAATGTTTCCTCAATATACACGTAAATTTCATTTCATAACATATGTCAAATTTGCACTAAAATAAATGCATAATACACTAAAAATAAGTCTGATGGTCATCCTAATGTGCTAATTAAGTGCTTGTCGTCCACTTGCACATGATTTGTTAAGGTGTGATAATAATTCACTATTAGCTAAATGTGAGTTATGTCTCTCTCATCACTCATATCTCAATATCTCGTCCACATGGGGAATCCTAACATTTAAAAATAAAAAACATGAAATAATTTATTTTTTAACCAATGGTGTTGCTATAAGTAAGGGGAATTCTATTTGCACCACCCTAATTGCTATTTACACCACATATTTAATAGGTGTAATAACTTTTAGGTGGTGTAAATAAAAAATTGTTATTTGCACCACCTTCATTAATTTTAGTCAAACATTACTTTTTTAACAAATATTTATTATAAATGACACTTTTTCTCCTTAGGTATATGTTTTTAACACTTTTTCCCTCTTAGTTATTCATGTATCCACATTTGCCTCTTAGTTATATTAAAAGTGGCATGTTTTCTTCCTTTTATGTTTGATAGACATTTTTACCCTTAAAACTAAATATTTCATTTATTTTTTCTTCTCCAACAAATTATTGTTTATATGTACGGATGGTCACGGTTTAGTTCAAACAATTTTTTTTTATTGCCAGTTCAAAATTTATTTATTTATTATAAATTTTATTTATTATTTTTTTTAAAAAAAAATAAATTTAATAATTATTTTATTGTATTTTATTTTTTCGGTTCTGAATCGTAAGCAAAGCCAAAGGGAGTTTTTTTTTTTAATTTGCAATCACATAGGGGTGGGCGTAATTCGGATTATCCGAACCAACACCCGAAATCCGAACCGAATTTTAAATTTTGGGTGAACCCAAATAGTTATCGGTTCTGATATTTTAAATTTTGGTATATCAGAATATAAATTCGGTTCAGATATCGAGTGTTAAAAATTTATCCATACCCGGCCCGAAACCCGAACTAACCGAAATTTTATTATAAATATAATAATATAATTTATATATTTAGTTTTAAATATATTTCATAATTAATAATACATTAATTTTTTAAAGTCCATTAGTTAATTATTAGTATTTGCCTTATTTTTAGTTTGATAGTATATGAAAAAATATAAATAATAAAATAATAAATTTATTTTAACAAAAAAACTCAAAATTGATAAAATAATATTTTGGGTATATCCAAACTAACCCGAAGTAAATCCGAAATAATTTCACCCGAACCGAACATATCCGAATTAAATTTGGTTCGGATATCGAGTGTCAAAAATATCACCAGAAATTTTCGGATACCCTAAATAAATTTCGGGTATCACCCGAACCGAACCGACGCCCACCCCTACAATCACACGTGTTATATATTACTCTTCCGAACTTCATTCCAGTTAAAAAGGGAGAAAAATATTGATTTCTTAGGCTTTCGCAGTCATATTGAAGTTGACAACTCATTACGTTCCAATGGCATTTTGGAGTGTGATTTTATATCTAAGATTATATTTGATTTCTCTCTTTTTGAGGAATGTACACCTTCATTAGAGGACATATATACTAGTAATCTACAATTACTTTGATTTAACAGCAATTGGTTTTTATACGATTATTATATATAATATGATTAATTAAGCCAACTATCATGTAGTGTGATGACATTTCAATTACCATTTCAAATAAATGGTCATAGGTCCGAACCTTGGGAGTGGAGCTTAGATTCTTAGGGTTAAAAATGTTTAAGAAAATATAGAACAAATATAACTAATTGTGAAGGCACAACACAACTTTATTTTCTTATACTTACGAGTCAGAACCGAAAAAATGAAATAAAATAAAATAATTATTAAATTTATATTATTTTAAAAATAAGAAATAGAATTTATAATAAATAAATAAATAAATTTTGAATTGGCAATAAAATAAAAAATTATTCGAAGCGAACCATAATCATCCATACATATAAATAATAATTTGTTGGAGAATAATTTGTTGGAGAAGAAAAAATAAATGAAATATTTAGTTTTAAGGGTAAAAATGTTCACCTAACATAAAGTGGAGAAAACCTGCCACTTTTAATATAATTGAGGAAGCAAATGTGTACAATTTTTTCTTAACCGGAAACTTTTAATTCGATTGCTATAGTGGCTGGTTCCGTTAGAACCGAACCTTGGTCATCCCTACGTATATGCAATAATTTGTTAGAGAATAAAAATAAATAAAATGTTTACTTTAAGGGTAGAAATGTCAATTTAATACCCTTTTAGAATAATTGAGGGGGCTAATATGCTAACATGAATAATTCAGGGATAAAAAGTACTATAAATATATAACTTAGGGGGAAAAAGTACCATTTTCTCTTAATTAAATTTTGATTTAAAAAATTACGGAGTATTAATTACACCTCATAAATGAGGTTTGACCAAGTTGGTGCAAATAGCAAAATGAATCTCCATTTGGCTATTTACACCACCTATGTAATTATTGAAAGTTTTTACCTTTTTACAATTTCAAGATACTTTATACCTACTTTTGACCAAAGGGTGGTGCAAATAGCAACACCCATTGCAAATTCTCTCTCCCCTTGCTATATTTGTCAATTCTCTCTCATATTGCAAGACACTTGGCTTTAAATAAATAAAAAAGATTTATCTCACTTGCCATGTCACTTTGCCAATACCAAATTTGCCGGAATGAGGATAGCCATTTGCCAATTTGCATTACTTGCAAATTAGCACCACCCTAATTGCTATTTGCACCACCTATTTAATAGGTGTGATAACTTTTAGGTGGTGTAAATAAAAAATTGCTATTTGCACCACCTTCATTAATTTTAGTCAAACATTATTTTTTTAACAAATATTTATTATAAATGACACTTTTTCCCCTTAGGTATATGCTTTTAACACTTTTTCCCTCTTAGTTATTCATGTATCCACATTTGCCTCCTAGTTATATTAAAAGTGGCATATTTTCTTCCTTTTATGTTTGATAGACATTTTTACCATTAAAACTAAATATTTCATTTATTTTTTCTTCTCCAACAAATTATTGTTTATATGTACGGATGGTCACGGTTCAGTTCAAACAATTATTTATTTATTTATTATTGTCAGTTCAAAATTTATTTATTGATTATAAATTTTATTTCTTATTTAAAAAAAATTAATAATTATTTTTTTGTATTTTATTTTTTCGGTTCTGAATCGTAAGCAAAGTCAAAGGGAGTTTGTTTTAATTTGCAATCACACGTGTTATATATTACTCTTTCGAACTTCATTCCAATTAAAAAGGGGGGGAAATATTGATTTTTTAGGCTTTCGCAGTCATATTGAAGTTGACAATCCATTACGTTCCAATAACATTTTGGAGTGTGATTTTATATCTAAGATTATATTTGATTTCTCTCTTTTTGAGGAATGCACACCTTCATTAAAGGACATATATACTAGTAATCTACAATTACTTTGATTTAACAGCAATTGGTTTTTATATGATTATCTTAATCTTAATTATAATAAAGCCATATGGTCTTTTGAAAATTAAATGTTGATATTAATGGTTAAATGTTGGTATTAACAACATGTAATTTTCACAAGACCATATGATATGTGTATATATATATATATATATATATATATATATATATATATATATATATATATATATATATATATATATATATATATATATATATGAATATGAATTGCAACTATGTTGATATTAGGTTATGTATTTTTTAATAAATAATATTATTATAATGTTGTCCAGTATTCATTCCGTGCATCGCATGGGTAGCATACTAGGAGTAAACATACTCAAGATTAAATATGTATACCGCTAGTTGCGATAAATATATATAGTAACTTTTTCATACTATTTTCAATTATTAAATTAAATATTGTAAATACAATATCATAATTATTTTGTCATATACTTAATAAAAATGTAATTTTAAACAATTAAATTGTGGTTCATGTTTTCTTCTTCTGTACTTCAAATACCATTACTAAAAATATTTTTTTACCTATTCTAACATTACAAACAAATTTTTAATATTTAGTCCGTGCATCGCACGGGACAATACTAATTATATATAATATGATTAAACCAACTATCATGTAATATGATGACATTTCAATTATCATTTCAAATAAATGGTCATAGGTCCGAACCTTGAGAGTGGAGCTTAGATTCTTAGGGTTAAAAATGTTTAAGAAAATATAGAACAAATCTAACTAATTGTGAAGGCACAACACAACTTTATTTTCTTATACTTACGATTCAGAACCGAAAAAATGAAATAAAATAAAATAAAATAATTATTGAATTTATATTATTT